GGACTCCGCACCCCTTACCCCTGTTGCAAATGGCAAAAACAATTATTTCAATTCACCTGCATGTGCAATTAGCCTGGCACCAACAAGCTCTCCAACAAGCACAGTCAGGTTTGGGGCAATAGCCGTCATTCGATTCTTGAGGTAATCATACAGCTGAGCACGGTAATCAGTCATTTCAATGATCTGAAAATTGCAATGAAAAGTGTTAATGAAACAACTCATAGAATGGAGAATTTTTTCAGGTAAGCTGTTGGTTTGAAAACACGCCTAGATTTCATGTAATACCTGATCACAGAGGTAAATGATATTATTCATGTCCTCCTCAGAGATCTAGAAGGAAACACAGTGACAAACATCAGCTCACATAATTTAGCAATTGTTTTTCTTGTGTTAAAAAACCTTCATATACAACTCAGGCTACTTTCACTTGGTAGTGAGCAAATTCAGTAATTCTTATTGGAAATTATATTTAAGTGTTCCATTGTGAACCATGATGACCATACCAAAATTTGGATGCCTAGCTGTTAAAACATTTGGATACCAAACCAAGAATATGAAATTTCAGGCAGGTCAGTGAAAAATATAACCAGCACAATTTGAACACCATCTAAATTTCTGCGTGGCTAAGGTGTGGTTGCATAAATGTGTGACAGCTCAGCTAGCAAATATTGTTTTGAATTCGGTAAACCAGCAATGAAAGTTGGTAAAACTATCGATAATGTTAAAAGGTTAAAATTCAAGCAGTGTTGTTAAGTTTCATGTAAACAGAGCAAAGATACTGGGCATTCCATGCAAAAAAAGCAGAGTCCTATCTTTGAAATGGTAGAAAATCCAAGCAGTACAATCCTACCTCAGTTCCCATGGAGATCTCTGCAGCAGCTTTGACTTCCTCCTCAACTTCCTCAGGCAGAATCTCAGACAAATCAGTTTTATCAGCATTTAAACGAGTGCCTGGAAAATACGAAACAACAATGATCATGAACATAACACAAACTAAATCCTAAGGTATCCAAAGCTTAAGATAATTATTATGAAATAATTGGCTTTTCCTTTATCAACCAGCCTGGGCTGATTTCTGAAATCCTGCCCTAGCAAACTCTCCTCTGTAAAAATTCTTATGTGTAAATATTAGAAGACAAGTCAAGCTGGTTAACAAGATCATGAGAATTTTGTGAAAGAGGGATAGAAATCTTCCCAAAGGCACACTCCACCCCAGTTTCTGGGAGAAAACTAATGTGAGAGACTGCACCTTTTCCATTTTGATAGCTGGGCTGAAATTTTCCTTCCATTACCTTGGCTGAAATCTCAACTTGCTAAGAAGGACTAAAATTTCTCACTTCACATCAAAATTCATGTGGGTTTTGGCACATTGACATAAAATTTGGAATGTTATCAAAAAAAAAAAATTGGTGGGTGATTGGTGGAAAGTGCACTAGTAACATACACTCTCTATTTGAGACATCTGGTCCAGAAATATAATAATTATGCTGTCCAAACATAACAATGTACATGAAAAAAATACATGCTTCTGATTGGCTGAAAACCAGTACATTCTCATGTAACAAATGTGCCAAGTTCTAACGCAAGTGTAAATACAAACAGTGCACACTCACTTTCAAATTTTGCCTATCTTAACCTACTGAGTGATGGCTTTTCATGTACATTATTAACAAGTAATAACATGACTTCTCTTGCAATTTGGTGTAATTACCCTTAAGGCTTACAAATCTTTTCTATTAAGACCCAAGAGCTTAAAGACCACATCCTGTTTGACACACACCCTCTAAGGCCAAAAAAAATCCCTCACTTCTCCCCTGAATAAGGCAAGCATGGTTTCCCAGGCACAAAAATGAAAGAAAAAAAAACCAAAGTCCTATGTGCCTTGTTCCAATGCAGTAAAAAACAACATTATGTCATAATAACCCTTACCCATAGTCTTGACAGTTTTTGCATAGGCTAGGTTGTCTGTGACAATCTTGCCCAGTTCAGGAAAATGCCAGCCATACCACTCACGGCAACGCATCACATAGTTGTTCAGTTCCTTGTCAAGGTCATCCAGTAAAGATATCGCCTGGACAATCATGGTGTCAATTTTGTCTGGACTGAACTTCAGCTTATAACGAGACAAGCTATATCAGATAACAGAACTTTGTTAAGAAGAGTAAAAAAAAAGGACGACTGGTTTTTCAATTAAAAAAAAAAGCAGACATGGATTTTAAAATGGAGAATTCAATTAAAAAAAAAACAAACCTGTGTGCTAATCCCAAGGCCATAGCACTCATTTCTTTATTAGGAAGACCTAAAATGTTGAAAAGGAAATTTAAGGAATTAACCCTTTCACTCTCTGGAATGACCAACTTGGAATTTCTCCTCAAAATATCAACATATTTTCGAGCAAATGCTTCTTTGCAAATGGTTCACCAAGGTTGTCATTACAAGCAGATCTTAAAGAGTACTTTACAAGTACAATATTAATGTATTGGTTTGAATACATTAATGTATGCAAATTTTATGGGTAAGTATGCAGCTGTTGAAGAAATGGTGTGTATTTGTTGAATACCTGTGATAAGACTTTCAAGCTGTAGCCTGATTCCTCGCATGAGCTCTTGAACTGCTGAGCTGGAGACACAATTCAAGCTAAGCTTCTCCTAAAGAACAAAAAGACATGGAAAAAATTCTTACTAATTAGTAAATCTTAACCCTTTACACCCTAACATCAGTATTCATATTCTCCATACTGTTCTCTGTACATTTACTAAGTTGCTGACAAGGAGAATTTGTCTAACAATCAAGAGTTTCTTTAGTTGATGATCATTTCCCTTATTCCCATGACCTTAATGTGTGATTCAGTAGTGATATTGTGAGGAGAAATAAGATGCTGGTCACTCTTAGGGTTTGAAGGGCTAATTCAGCATGAACTAGAGATGACCTGATGCTCAGAAAAGAGGAAACTTATAAATTCCTAGAATTGAAGGGATTCTGAAAATCTGGCCAGTACAAAAATATACTGAGCAGGAAGATAAACTTGAAGACTTTTGCTATTAAAAAAAAAATGACCACTGCACCTACATTTGTTACGTTACAAGAATTACAGGGAAACACAATTTGTTTTTAAAACACCACTCAAAACTAGAGAGAAAAAATTGTACATCATTAAAAAGGTTTCTCACCTTGATAACACCTCCTAGCTTAGCATCCGCCACAGCTAGTTCTTGGTGAATGTCTTTGGCAACAATTTTCTTTAAAACTTTTTTAAGACTCTTGCTCATCTTCCCCTCTACTGCAGCAGTTGCAGCTAAAAACATAAATGGAAAAAAAAAGTAAATCAACATTAACTTTTAACTCTTTTACCCCTAAGAGTGACTGGCATCTAATTTCTCCTTACTGTATCATCCCTGAATCAAAAATTAAGGTCAGGAGAATGAAGGAGCTGATCACAGATGAAAGAAGCTTGTGATTATAAGCCAAATTCTCCATGTTGGCATCTAAAGAAATGTTTAGAGAACAGTATGGAGAATATGCATACTGATATAAGGGCGTAAAGGGTTAAGGTTTGAAGACACAGTAACCCCATGGTCAATGCATCAGACTCCTGATCAACCATTCCATTGGTCATTATGTCATAATCTTTGGTTTGGTACCACAGCTCCAAGCTGCAACCATTTTAGTTACCATGATAAGAAGTAAAAACTTTTGGTACCTAAAGTTTGATTGAAAGTTGCCAAATTGTTAACCTGTGTTCAGTGGTCTAGCAGCCAGCCTTTGGCAGGCCTTAGCCATACCACAAGGCTCACTGCTTATCCAAAAAAAAAACAAATGTCAATGAGTAAAACAAAATTCAGATGTCAGCATTATGATCTGTTACGTATCCTTAATACTGGCCTAGACCCCCTTGGAAAAAATTTAGCCATACCCCTTGAAACACAGTTATACAGACAAATACATAGTAAAGTTTTGCCATTCTACATAGAGAGTTAAGTTTGTAAATGATTGAATTAGTATCCTGTACACACTGATAAAATACATTGCATCAGGATTTGCTATACCCTCAAGATTAGCTGGCTTGCTTGACAAGCTCACCGTATAACAGCCTGAATTTAATTTACTGACAACCCCAATTACCATAACTATAAATGGCAATTAACCCTTTAACTCCAAAGATCTGATTGTTATTTCTCCCCTCTAGCTGCTACTCATTTCCTAGTAAATTAGTTGCATGGATTTAGCGTTAGATCAAGATAACAACTACTACTCTATAAGTCTGAATATTCTCAAGACCTGTTTGTTGGATAATGTATGAATATTATAGGGAGAAGTTACATGTTCATCACTTCTGGGAGTTGGGGTTAATTGAGCAGTCAAAATAAAATAATGCTATTGCAAACATTATATTTTTTACGTAGTCTGCTAACCTGCCAAGGCTTCCGTTGTGTCATTGAACTTTTCAAAATGCTTCAATTTAACCCTGAAATACAAATCAACTTATATCAGAAGGTTTAAAATTGCAACTAAACTTAGTACGTAGATCGATTGAAAGAGATACGTAGATCATTAGATATAAAGACGGTACTTACACTTTGCTAGCGGCATCTGGTGTTTCAAAATCCTTGTACAGGTTATCGATTTTGTGTAATTTCTTCTCATCGAGGAGCTGAAGAAGCAAAGTTCAAGATTTCAGCACGATTCGAGCCAAACTTGGTTTAAGTTTGGAATGAAGAACTCAAAGGTTTTCGGCTGCAAAGCGAGCCAGATTTCGCTGTAAAAAAGAAAATCATTTCGCTACTTAGAGGGAAGACACTTACCTTAAAGATCGCATAGCCTGCTGGCGTTTCGAAAAGTACTAACATGGTTAAAATAGTAAGATTATTTTCCTAACACGGCTACAAACATAAAAATACAAGAACACAATCTGCACGTGGAAAGAACTTCGGATCGGCTCGTCCCCAGATTCCCAAATTTGTCACGTGATCATGCAGCCAATGATTATATACTCACTAATTGCCCGTTAGGAACACCCTTGACAGGTGGACTATATTTGCTCTTTTTAATTATTTTTCGCTTCTCTCCTTGTTATATTTTAACCAAAATGGTAAATTTGAAAATTTTCTTTTTCGTTTCGTACTTTTATTCGTTCAATTGCGGTTATTCTATGCGAAAGGAAACTGTTATTTTGGTCTCCTTTGATGGGTTTCGGTGGGATTACCTAGACATGAATCGAACTGCCACGAAGAACTTCTCCTCTATCATGAAACGAGGGGTGCGGGCTGAATATGTTAGGAACGTGTTTCCAACGGTAACTTTTCCCAATCACTACACTATCGTCACAGGGCTTTACCCTGAAAGCCACGGAATAATATCGAACTCGTTTTACGACGCGATTGCAAACAAATCTTTTAACATGAACACGAACAGTTCCGAATGGTGGGACAAATTTGCCGAACCTCTTTGGGTGACAAGCGAAAAACAAGGACATAGAAGTGGTATGTGTTTTTGGCCAGGCTATGATGTGGAATACAAAGGCCAAAAACCGTCTTTTACCACGAGTGAATTTGGATTTGGAAGACCTTTTGCCCCTCGTGAAAACGAAACGATTTCTCCTTGGAAGTGGCGTGTTGATTTGGTTTTAAAATGGTTGAAAGATCCAGACCCACCGTCCTTTATCACTTTATACTTTGAGGAACCGGACGAAGCTGGCCACTGCTGTGGCCCTGACTCGGTAAATGTTACAGAAGAGATTGGAAGAGACGACGAAATTACGGGTTATCTCTTGCAAGAATTACACAAAGCAAATTTAACGGATGCAGTTAATTTGATAATAACAGCTGATCACGGCACTGCTATGTACAATTCAAGCACAGTCTTGGACTTGCATGAATTTTTACCTCCAGATTATTCCTTATGGATTCCAGGTTGGGCTTACCTTTCATTCAATACCACCAATGTAACAGGAGCGTATGATAGTTTAAAGAAGGCAGAGAAACAGAAATCGCACTTTAATGTATACAGAAAAGAGGAACTTCCGGAAGAACTTCATTTCAAACACAGTAGGTTTGTAGCTGAAATTAATGTCATCTTGGAAGAAGGTTGGTTGGCAACAGTGGGACCCTTCAACCATTCCCGCAAGGTAGTCACAAAAGGAACTCATGGCTGGCACCCATCCTTACCAACCATGCACCCTTTCTTCTTGGCACAAGGCCCAGCTTTCAAGCAAGATTATAAAAGTGGTCCTATCGAGATGGTTGACATCTATCCATTGATTTGCCATTTACTAGGTATAGATCCTTTGCCAAACAATGGCTCACTCAGTCGCATTACACACTTGCTGAAAGTTGCGCCAAATCCTTCACACTCAAATGACCACTGGTTAACAACTGGAGAAGTTATTGCCATAGTTATAGGTACAGCTATTGCTTTGACAGTCTGCATGTATGCTGTTTTAATGATAAGAAGGGATCGCCGACATATGGCTAGAGGTCATAGACCTGGTGAAGGTAACCAGCCGTTACTGTTTGGAGATGAAGATGATGAAAATATGATTTAATATCTTATCAAAATGGTCCACTGTGAAAAATAACAGTGTTCACCTTGTGAACCCAAAGGTGATTGACATGTGCCAGTATTTTCTCACAATTCCATAACTCCATCCAGCATTGGAGGTAGAGAATAGATAAACTCTATCATTTAATGAATTATCTTGATGAAACAAAATTCTCCTTACCACTTTATGAGGAACTTTTTAGAAGCAAGAAGGGAGAATTACTTATCAATCTTTGAAGGCAAAAGGTTAAAAATACTAATACAAAAGTGGTAAAGTATTCCTTGTGCATATTTTTAGAAGCTGAAGCAGGTGGTTGTAGTAGGCACTTTCTCCATACTGAAGGATGGCCTTCTAAACTCTAACATGCACTGAGTTCTATTGAGAGCCCTGAATATGTAACCAAAGTTTCTAGTTGCTAGAAATTATCTTGGCCCTGGTAGTGGAAAGGGTGGGTTTAAATGCTAATAACTGGATAAATCTCGTTCCAATAAATGGTGCAGCATCTATTGTTAACACTTTACCTCTATATAGTGAGTAATTAGTTAACTCTTTAGTCCTAGAAGTGAAAATTGGCTAGCCTGGTAAGATGTGACCACAACTCACTGAAGACTACAAATTATTGACAAGTCTTCCTTCCACCTGACATTGTACAAAGCCACAACTATCAGGACTCTAACACAACAAGCACAACTTGTATGCAACACAACAGACAGCTTATCTCATGAGAACAAGTACCTCAACTGTATTTGAGGAAAATAAAGAAAAGTCGATGTAATTTTGTTCACCAAACAATTCACTTCATCTTTTTAATTCAAATGTTTGTGCATAATTTACATTTATATAAGGGATTACAAAATTGGTAGGGCAACAATGATACACTAACTACTCTCTTGAAGCATTGAGTGACCTCTGAAAAAAAGCTAACCACCTTCCAAACTGACCTGTTTATCTCAACTGACCTCTTTGTTTTTTCTCTGGTGAAACACAGAGATAACTTTATTTTGCATCAAAAGTCACTCCAGGTTTTATTCTGGGCCCTAGCAGAACCTTTCAATATATTAAATGTCAGTTATTCATGGTCATATCTACACAGCACACACACACAAAGAAAATAATGAAAATGTGTTTTCACAAGCCTCTATCTCAATTACAAGAAATCACCATAAATAAAGAATACAATGTCAAGAAGAGCTCTATTTATTTTGGCTCTGCTCTACAACATTGAGCCTACGGCAATAAAATCTCACCATTCCCAAATATCCACCATTGGTTTTTCATTGGTAGCAACTTGAATTACACTCTCAACAAAACTTGGGAAAAAGAAATGTACTGTTTCAACAAAACTTAAATACCATGGGAAATATATTTGCCGTTTTCTCAAAGCAGCTCCTTTGATCATGGAAAGAGCACATTCATCCACAGGTTCTCCCTTTATACCTTTGTCCACAGGAAGGCCTTTGGTCATAGTGCGAGCATTTTTTGTCTCGATCAACCCTAAAACACACAATGTGACAGAAATTCCACGCTGGCCTTGCAGAGCTAAATCTTGACGCAAGCTGTCAAAAAATCCATGCAGTGCGTGCTTGTTTCCACAATAAGTTGAAACTCTTGGCACAGGAACAACCCCAGCAAATGATGACACAACAAGTATGCTTCCATTGGTCTTCCGAAGGCCAGGGAGCAGTAAGGTAGCAATATTGATATAACTTATGGTATTGACAGCAAAGTACTGTGGAACTTTTTCGAGGTTACTGTTCTTGTTCCATAATTCGTAAAATGGCTTTAAATGGTTGAGAATCAATACATCAGGTCCATCAAATAGCTTGTTAGTTTCCTATCAAAGACAACAATTAGTTCATTTCCTAGTATCTTACAAGGGTTTATAATGACAGATTAAAGTCGGGCAACAAGACCAAGGAGTAAAACGTTTCATGATTTCAAAACAAGTTCTGTGACTTAAATTCTCAGTGTGATTATACACACATAGAAATTCAAATTATGAATTTGTGTGGTTACTTTCAAGGGAAAAAGTCAAGTAAAAAGACAGGGATTCACGCAATGATTTTTATATAAAATGAGAGAAATTGTCACTGCAACCTGTCCCTCTAATGTGTCTCTAGGACCTGCCACCTTGCATACTTGGACCTGTAAGCATACCCATAAAGGAGCAACTACAGAATAATAAGGCAGAACACAAAGGGATGTATTGTGATTCAACAAATGGCCCTATATTCGGGATTATGATTAGGGACTGAAAAAAGGAAAATGCACTATTTGGTATCATTCAAAGGGGGGTGGGGGTGGGGTGGCTTGATTCAAATGTTCGATCTCGCTAATTTGGCAAAGCAAGCAGATTTAATTGATTGCTTCTTACTTCAGCCAAATGCTTGGCAGCCTCCAAAGAAGACAGATCAGCAACAACGTAGTTTGCCGTCTGTGCTCCTAAATCTCCACAACGTGCAACAACTTTTTTAAGTTCCTCTTCACGCCTGGCAACAAGTAAAAGTTGAGCTCCAAGTTTGGCATATTGATAAGCGAGTTCTTCTCCAATCCCAGTCGAAGCTCCACAAATCACGACCTTTTTGCCTCGCAGAGTTTCAGGATCAAAATTCTCACTCGTGTACCAGGCAATCAAAACCGCTACAAGAGCTGTGACTATCCCTAGAAACGCCGCAACTTTCAAGACCGCCATTTTTTCGAACGCCTGATGCTTGCTAGCAAAGACCATATTCGGAATTCACGAGTATTTCCGAAACCTTCCGATAATGTATCGACTTTGCTTCGCACGCTATATGTTGTTGCTACGTGTCAGTGACCTGAGACAATCTTGTCTCGAAGAGTTACCCTCCAAAATAATGCGTTTTAATTAATTAATTTGACACATTTTCCTTATTTAATCACTGACTCTTTGCTACAATGAAAGTGGTATTTATAACAAAACAAGGCTGGTGGATTATACTTGCCGCTTGTGTATTTGTGCTAGGAAACTGCGTGCTTCTCTATCGCTTCATCAACAAGACTTCGATTGCTGAGCTAGAGAAAGCTGCCAGATTGAAGGAAATATCGGATAGCTATCTCGAAAATTTCAAGGAGTCGGACTCCAAATTAAAAGATTTAGCTGAAGCTGTTCAGAGATTGCAGAGTAAACCCGTGAAATCCGATAATGTTGGACTTGAGATACGTGAACAAAACAACAATGAGGTTCATGCAGGCTTCCAAGTGGAAACACCAGCTGAAGTTCAGTTGAAAGCAGGGCCACAGAAAACTGCAACATTGTTGAAGTCAAAGTTACTTTTGCCAGTTACAACAGCAGCTGAGGAATTTGTGGCTGCAGTGCTAGTTATGGCGTGCAACAGACCAACAGTGAAGCGTTGTCTAGATCTTTTAATAAAGTATCGCCCTTCTGTTAAAGAATTCCCCATTGTTGTAAGCCAAGATTGTGGGGATGCTGCGACAGCAAATGTCATTAGATCATACGGAAATCAGGTCTCATTCATTCAACAACCAGACCTGTCAGATGTAAGAGATGTCCCGGCCGACATGCGTGGAATGATGGGTTACTTTAAAATAAGCCGTCATTATAAGTGGGCTTTGGGACAAGTATTTGATAACATGGGCTATGACACAGTCTTGATTGTTGAAGACGACCTTGATATTGGTAAGTTTTTACAGTCCTCTATAAGAGCAGGAGAGAGGTCTGTGCCACTCTCTCTTCCAGTCAAATTAAAAACTCATATATAATCATAACTCTGTAATTTAGTATCATCAACTGAGTTGATAACTTAAATTGGCCATCATAAATAGTTTCAAAGCTGACGATTCAAGTGTTAGCCCTTCATCATGTGCTCTGACAAAGGGCTAGATCTCAAAATGTCAGCTTTGAGTTTCTTTAAGGTGGTAAATTTATGTTACCATTACCTGTTACACTCTCCCACCAACGCAGCACCACCGTTTCTCTAGAGACTTACACCCTTCAATCATAACTTGGCCACTTTCATTACTCATTTATCTAGGGAGTCAGGGTAAGGCTTGAGCTGAGTGGCCCAGTCAGCCAGAGCTTGTCCCAGTTTCCCAGTTTCTTTAACATGAAGCAACATGGAGTATCACTTTAATTTTCCCCCCCTTCCCCCACCCTTTCCATAATGGGGTGCTAGTCCATTGCAAGGCAACCCCTATTGCATTTCATCTCATTTCATTAGGCTTTCCTGACAATTCTTTGGTATCCGTTTACACTCCTGGGTTGAGAGAAGCACTGTGACAGTTAAGTGTTTTGCCCAAGAACACAACACAATAAGCTGGCCAGATCTCAAACCCAGACATTTTGACTCAGGGCCCAGTGCACTAATCATTTGGCTGCTGCCTCTCTCTGCTCTGAGTATTAAACATGGTACTGCAACCTTTTCTGCATTTTGTTGAATTGATAAAAAAATTTGAAAGAACTCAGTTGGCACTCGTGCCCTGGCGCAGGCAATTATGGAGTTTATTTTATTTTTATTGTTCAATTTGAGGCTTGCACTCATTGGTGAATTCAAATGATTCAACTGTCAATGACATAATATGTTTTGTTATGTATATAAAAAAAAAGTGGACTTGGAATTTTTGGGTCAAGCTGGACTTGTATTATGCCTTAGGCATATAAAGGGGTTTTCTAGTTGATTTTATGGATTTTGATGGCTGTCAGGAAAACCATTAGAGCACACGGTGTTATTTAAGTTTTCATTGGCTCCTTGTTATATTTCCTTTGTTCTCATTGGCTGTTTTGGCAAGTTTGGTTTTTGTTTACATCAAACCATCAAACTGCATTCTGTTAAGTGCACAGTTAAGTGCTAATTTGTTATTTTATTTATTTCTACCCTTACAGCACCAGACTTTTATGAATACTTCAAAGCAACAAAACCCTTGCTGGACAAGGATCCAAGCTTATGGTGTGTCTCGGCTTGGAATGATAATGGAAAAGAAGGAATGGTTAAAAGAAATGATGTTCTTTACAGAACAGACTTTTTCCCTGGACTTGGCTGGATGATGAGAAAATCTCTTTGGATAGAACTAGAGCCAAAATGGCCTCTTGGATTTTGGGATGATTGGATGAGGGAAGCCTCGCAACGTAAAAACAGATCATGTATTCGACCAGAAATTCCACGGACAAGGACATTTGGCCGAGTAGGTGTTAGTCGTGGACAATTTTATGATCAGCATTTGAAATTTATCAAGCTAAATGACCAAAAGCACCCATTTTCAAAAACAGACCTTTCCTATTTACTGAAAGACAGCTATGATCAAAGGTTTGTAGTACGTGTACATTCACTGCCTCTCGTAACTGCTGATCAATTGGTAGAAAAAAAGGTTTTTGCCACAAATGTACAAGTTCACTACTCTTCGCCAAAGAACTTTGAACAAGTTGCCAAACAACTTGGTGCAATGACAGACTTTAAGGCAGGAATACCCAGAATGGCATACAAAGGCATAGTTTCAATTGTGTTCTCAGGAATTAATGTGCACATTGTTCCATCAGAGTAAAGCATCAGAGTTTTATTGCAAAGTACACAAGCAAGCAGTAATTTGCTAAACACATCCAATGACGAACATAGGGTTCCCTCTACTGGAACAGAATGCTAACAAAGAGCAAATCAGAGTGAAGCAACCACAAGAAATTGACCAGAGCTGAAACTATAAACAACTGTAAAATGTGATTCTGTCCAAAATGAGACAATAACCAAATATTGAGCAATCAATATCAAATGTATGATATCAAGCAACCCTATTTATTCTCAACAAACCTCATCAACAAATGGAAATTTAACCACTGAGGATCTTTCTCTAACTCATCATGGTGGACTTCTAACAAGTATGATTTTGCATTAAAAAAAAAATCAACATTTTCCATGGTCATTGAGGTGTTTATTTTTTAAGACTGCCAATGTTGTCAATTCCTACCCTTTTCTATCCAACCGCTCCTTGTTTTCAGATGGCTCTTCTTGGTTAGCTCTCCACAATCTTTGGTGTGCCAGCCATTGAAAAAAATAGTTGGCAGTGAGAAGTAAGTTAGTGCTTAAAGGGCAAATCTCTGCAACATCTATTCCCTTTGGTTTTACTTTTACTTTTTTTTTTCTAGTGTTAATAAATCTTTTTTAGTATACAGGTGAACAGAAATAAAGCAACATGAAAATTTATTTCAGATCTCAACAGATATTTTACATTATTTTGCTGCAACTTCTGAAAAAAGTAACCAGTGAAAATGCCAGTTTCTGTTGCTTCTGGAGAACACTGAATCTTACTCTTTATCACTGTGTAGAGTTGAAATAATTGATAGTACACCCTCAAACTAGACTTAGACTCTTGCAAAACTTGTTTCCAAAGTCAATGATAGATTAGGTTAATTTTAGCAAAGTTTAATGACTGAACATATGTAACAATCATTAACCAAAGTGAGGTTGAGTAGGGTTGGATATTTACCAAGTTCCAAAGTGGCAAGGTTAATATTCAAACCTTTTGCTGACTTTTGAGGTGAATACTCATTTTAGTATATACCACACAGGTTACCCTAAGCTCTTGAAGTGCAATTTTGTCTCCCTGGCTCCTCGAAGGTGAATATTTCTTGCTAATTACTTCCAAACTACCCAATCAGGGCATGCAAAAAGTACTTCTAACCTGTGTTCTAAATACAAATAAAAATTATTGTACTTTTCCAGGTTGGCTTGTTTCTTTGTACAAGGAGAAGACTTTCTTGCCATCCAGCCATTTAAAATTAATTAAAGTCGAACTTTAAACACTGCCACTTTCTTGTCAACCTTTATTCTCGTTGCACCTTCAATTTACATCATCTTTTCCATAAGAACAAAATATTTTCACTGTGCAATTTCCTCTGACTGAATGTTCCTCGCAATCAAACTTAAAGTGCTACACTGACAACAGCCACCATTAAAATGAAAATCAAAATAAAAATGTTGTAAAATAATATTCAACAAGATTAGCAGAACTATTTTAACACCTTTGAGTTAACAAAGAGTTAGCAACTGCAAGTAAAACTTTGAATTTCTCTGGAAAGGCTCTAATACATCAATATATACAGAGTTTGATGGACAATTTTAGGACATTTATTGCTCCTTCACTCCATCATCTTCAGCAGGTTGATCAGCATCTTTTGTTGCACCATTTGTTTCATCTGGTTCTTGTTCTGCATCCTTTTTTGCATTTCCTTCCGCAGCTTCATCCTCCTTTGCCTCCTCATGGCTTTCTTTGACTGAGTCTTCTGTCACTAGTTCCTCCTCCTCCTCTGTTTGTTTAGCTGCCTCAGTTTCCTCATTTTGTTCATCTGCTGTTTCTTTGCTTTCCTCTGCACCTTCATGTTCATCTGCAGCACTTTCTTCTCCAGATTTGACCCCTT